TGAATGGAAGGGGATTTTCGGCCATATTAGAGGGCAAAATGGATGGGTGATGTGTTGGGTATTTTGGCTTGGCTAGTGAGGTGAATATTTGGTGGTTGGGGAGTGATTCATTCTGCCATAGTGGGGGACAGTGGGGTGTGAGAAATATGGCTTTTATAGGGTGGCTTTTATGGTGGTTTAAAGGTCAAAGTAATCAAAAATATCCCTTGGCTTGTTGTGCTTGTTATTTCGGTTGTACTAGGGGACAAGGGGGGGACAATGTTTGTGGGATGTTGGGTGATGAAATATGGTTGTTTGGCTTGGTGTGTTTCGGCCCTAGCTTAGGGAAATGAAAAGGAAATTGACTTATGGTTTTTTCTTTTGGCACAAAACGTGTTATTTTGATGGAGTGATTCAAGTAGGGAGTGGGGTAGTCTGGGCAGGGTATACGGCTCTTTTTAGGATGGAGATAGGCTCAAGGTTGTCAGGGTTAAGTAATATGGTTTGGGGTTGGAGAATTCATTCCAGAAAGGATCGTAACACTTAGACATGATTCCACTGATTTGTTTAAGGATTTGAGGATCAGGTGTAGTACTAGGGGATATAACATTTTCCTTTTTAATATGTTTGGTGATTAATCGTTTCTGTTTTTGCTCAATGGACAGGTTGAAGTGGAAATTGATAACTCATATGAGCATCTAACTCTTTCTGAGTTTACTGTTGAAGCTTCAATATATGAAAATGGAAACTTGTACAATAAAGATGGAGGTGTCATTAGTGATCTGCTTTCTGCAGATGCAACTCATTTGCAGTTCATTTCTAAGTTCGACAATTGTTTGGGATTTAAAGCACATTCACTAGTGGGAAAATTACAATCAACTATGCTCTGGTCCGTTGAACAGTAAGATACTACTAAAATCTAGGCTTTTTCCCACACTAAATATTGTGAGTTCCTCAGTTGTTTGAATTATCTTCCTGTTAAGACCATTGTGTGTGCTTGTTGATCATTTTTAATTATTTTTGGTTTACAGCCCAATTTATATACTCTTGTTATCACTATTAAAGATGCTTCAGGACATGTGGTTGACTGTGAATCATGTCAAGTTGGCATTCGACAAATATCAAAAGCCCCAAAACAGCTCCTTGTAAATGGGCAGCCAGTAGTTATAAGAGGAGTAAACAGGCATGAACACCATCAAAGAATTGGAAAGACTAACTTGGAATCCTGTATGGTTAAGGTAACAAATTGCACCTATGATGGATCGTGTTGTGGGCATGGTGGAGAGGGATAAGAATCATGTTTGCATTATTGCATGGTCCCTTGGGAACGAATCAAGCTATGGACCTAATCATGCTGCAATGGCTGGTATATGCTTTTCTAAAATGTGTTTTGACTTGTACTAACAAGACTCCATTTGATTTCAAGAAATTAATGGTCTCTCGGAGAATGAGTCGTTCTCGGTATAACATTCCCTAAAAAAAGTCTTGTTCCATACTTCCATAAACGTATTTTGTCCAAGCATCATATAAAATGAATCATTTTCATGTAATTTACCCATTGAAAATTACAAACATGTTTAATATGAGATATTTAGTTAAGCAAAATACAGATTTTATAAACAAAAAGAAGGATTAATAATACTTTTAGAAGTTAACTGCCACTGAAATTTAAGAGCTGTACTTTGACCAAACATGACTCTTTTTGGGACGAAGGGAGTATATAACACAAAAACAGAATGGATAGAACTGTTTGGGAAAAATGTTCCCGGTTCCAAGCACAAAAAAGTCCAGAAAATCTATCCTCACAAAGAATTATGATATGTGGCTTTTATATTTCCTAACCAACAAGTAATTAGCAGCTCTCCAGTATTATATTGTACAACAGGATGGGTACGAGAAAAGGATCCATCAAGATTAGTACACTATGAAGGTGGTGGGTCCAGGACGTCATCCACAGACATTGTCTGCCCAATGTATGCTCGTGTCTCGAATATAGTTGAGATAGCCAACGATCCAACTGAGTACCGCCCAGTAATACTATGCGAGTGTGTTTCTATCACTACTCAACTGTTATGTTTTAGCATCTATTAATCTGTTCTTGTTTTCAAACTTGTGTAATAACACATTCCTTTATGGGAAATCAGATATTCACATGCAATGGGTAACAGCAATGGGAATCTCCATGAATACTGGGAAGCTATTGATAGTACATTTGGTCTTCAAGGAGGCTTTATTTGGGATTGGGTTGATCAGGTGGTTTTACTTCTTCTACTATCTGTATTTGATCACTTGTTTTTAGTCATTTAGAATTAGAATATCTCTAAATACCAAACGATCAATGAAATAGGAGAGTGTTTCTTAGATGTGTAATACCTCTCCTGCTTGTAATCTTTTAAAAAATTCATCATTTAATTATATTTGCTGGTTTAACTAATCATACAATGTGTAACTTAAAAGTGAGTTTTTTTGACCAATTACATGAAGAAGTGATTTAAGACCTCTTATAAGATGGAGGTAGTAGTATTTTTGGTACTCCTGCCATCCCAAAATATAATTCCTTCATCCCTAAAAAAATGACAGTTTCGCTCTGCAAAGTTTAAAAGTTTTAAAAAGTGTTAAAATGTGAAAAGGTGTTTCCTAAAAAGGAATAAAGTTCAATGCAGGGAGTGTACGGTTTAAGCCATCTGTCTCAAAATAATTGTGTTTATAGATTTAATTCATGTTTTCCAGTACTAATCTTCAAAAATTTTCCACGTGAAGTCTTCCTGCTTCAATTGCTTATGTACCTTGAAAAACATAAACCCCATGCAGTGTTAAATTTAAATAAGGGAATATGTTTATTTTTCAAGGATCCGTAACATGTCTTCACTTTTCTAAATCTTTGATATTCTTGGGATAGTGAAGTATTTAATTGCATTTACTGTTGAATTAATGTGTCTTCAAACTCCGTACCAGGCAATGTTGAAGGAAGGCTCTAATGGTAGTAAGCACTGGGCATATGGAGGGGATTTTGGGGACATACCTAATGATTTGAACTTTTGCTTGAATGGTGTTGTATTTCCAGACCGAAGTCCTCACCCCGCGCTCCAAGGTGATTTTTTTGTTAATTTTTTTCCATTTTCTTGTTATCATTTGAGCTTCATATTATTTGAATCTTGCTATGTGCACTCTCTTACCTTGAGAGTGCAAATTGAACCCCAATATATTTTGTCATGAAACGTTTTAAGCTGAAGATTGTTGCAATTGATGTTTTTCAGAGGTTAAGTTTGTCTACCGGCAAATAAAGGTCGTATCTGATAACAATGGAAGTTTTGAGGTAAAAATGTTCACTTTTGCATCACTTGAATTTTTCTTTTACCAGATTTGAATGTGGTTTTGATTTCTACTCGGTTGCTTTCCAGATTCAAAATGGTAATTTTTTATTACCACAAAAGACTTGGAGTTTGAATGGTTACTTCACGGTGACGGGTGTGAGCTAGGTTCAGGTACACTTGATGTTCCTCCCATTGTGCCTCAGGGTACCCATAGAATCCAATGGGAGAACGGACCGTGGCATTCACTTTGGTCTTCATCCAGAGCTTCAGAGGTTTTGTTGACAATTACTGCAAAGATGCTGCACTTTACTCGGTGGGTTGATTCCGGTCACCTCATTTCTTCTACACAAATCCTCTTACTTGCCAAACTTGAACCCCTTCCTCATGTGAGTGTGGCCCTTTCAAGTTAAATAACTTCCCTTGTTACATTTTAAAAAATAGAATTTACCGGGATTATTATTACAGGTAATTAGAAGCATGGAGTCTAGTCTACCTGTTCACAACCTTGACGAAACAATAAAGCTTGGCCAGGATGGCTCGTGGGAGATTACCTTTAACAAAAAATCGAGTGCAATTGAGTGCTGGAAGGTAACTTTCTTTTGTAGAGGGTCCTACACTCCCTACTAAACTTTTTTGGACCATTTTTTTAAAGAAAAATGCATTATAAGCTTTCAAATCGGAATTATTTTAATGCCGGTGGAAGTTATTTATTTTAACATGTGTTTACGTTGGCAAGTTGAGGGCATTTCGGTTATGCATAGTGGAATGATTCCATGCTTTTGGAGAGCGCCTACCGATAATGACAAAGGAGGAGAGCAAAATAGTTATTTAGCAAGGTGGAAGGCAGCAAATCTTCACTGTCTGCAATTTCAAGTTGAGAACTTGGTTGAAAGTGAAACTGGGAGTGTGGCAAAAATTCGAATTACATACATTGGGATTCCATCCAGTGGTGATCCAAATGCTATTATATCTGCATCGGCAGGTTATTTGTTCAGGGTTCACATGATTTACTCAATATATGGTTCTGGAGATGTTTTCCTGGAATGCCATGTAGAAGTCCTTGGACCAGATTACCTGGTTTGGTAGAGGGCCATTCGAATGCTACCCAGACCGTAAATCTGCTGCCCAGGTGGGGATTTACGAACAAAATGTCGGGGATATGCATGTGCCTTATATTGTTCCCGGGGAATGCTGGGCAGTGCAGATGTGAGATGGGTAACCTTTAAAAGAAAGGACGGCGTGGGGATCTATGCTTCTGTTTATGGAGGCTCTCCTCCAATGCAGATGAATGCTAGTTACTATACCACTGCAGAACTTGACCGTGCCACTCGTCACGAGGATCTTGTTAAAAGTGACTTCATCGAGGTACACCGTTGTTTTCTAATTCCTCCCTACATTCCATATTAACCGTCGATTATGACCTTCCTGATACATTGAAAAACGAATGAATGTAGACATACAACATGTCCACATTCATTCATTTATCGATGTATCAAGAAAGTCATAATCAACAGTTAGTGGGCTTTTGAGTAGGATGTTTAAAGAGTAAAATAAATGATGTTGCAGGTGCACCTGGACCATAAGCACATGGGATTTGGAGGGGATGATAGCTGGTCACCTTGTGTTCATGATCAGTATCTTCTTCCTCCTTCCTCCTGTTCCATACTCTTTCTGCCTCAGGTTTCACCCAATCACTGCTACAATTTCTGACAGTGATGTCTACAGCGATCACAGCTCTAAAGCCATTTTGTTCCAATAGATTCCATGGATGAACTTGTTTTCAAGACTAGAACATGGAATGTAATGAATAATGATAATAATTTGTTTTATAATGAAAAATAGAAGAGAAATGCATGTTCTTATAATAAATTATTGCTGACATGTTCATGTACTTGTAAAGTCTTGTTCTAGTATATGCATTCTCTCTATCATGACCAGAAGATAAATTGATACTCCCTTCATCACAACAAAAGTTTCTGGTTTTGGAATGGTTGATTGAATTTATTATCAATTCAATTTATATAAAATGTGAGGTAATATTTCTTCATTTTCGTTAGTCATTTGAGAAAATAATATAGTCATGTCATCATTAGTTTTTAGATCTTTGGATTAAGTTTTATTTTTTCATTCTACACCATTTTTCATATAAAATGGTTAAAAAATATTTTTTGACCATATATCTTAAGCTGAAGGGTAATTTAAATTGGAACGGAGGGAGTAGTAGCCACATATAGCCTCTCATCTACTTCATTACCATTGCTGGGATAGTAAAATTAATGACCAAAAAATAATGGCTCCAATTAGTACTGAATTAATTAGCCTAATTCTTTGTGCATAAGATAGATGTTTAGTGCTCCAGGAGGTAATCTTGATAGTCAGCCATTTGATTTGGGGTAATCTTGGATTCAAGACTAAATCTTAACCCTTAATTCACCCACAACATGTCATCCACCACCTCATCAACGAGCAACTATTAAATCATTTCAGTTGTGATGTTGGAAACCACCACTCATGTAGTGAGAAATGGGGTTGTTAAGGGTAAATTCTGTCAAGGTGGCAATAAGAAATCAGTGTTGCGATTGATTAAAATAATCAAAACGTTAAAATGAAATGAATTGGTCTTTTATTTTATGCAAATAAATGAAAGGGGAATCATTTGAGATAACTTTTCAATTTTCAAATTTAAAATTTTAAAATTAAGTTTTTAAAAATATAACGGTGCACTTCTGTCAGAGATTTGTGTCACGAATTTGCAAAATTATAATGCATGTTTGTTTGTTGTGCCGTTTGAACTTTTAACAATTCTTTTGCATGTTTACTATTCGCATGATCAAATTTTATTCACTTTCTTTCTATTTTTTCCGTAGTCATTTGATAAAATAAAATAGACATGTCACCACTAGTTTTATAAATCTTTTGATGTAGTATTTTAATATGTAATTTTTATTTTTTAATTATACACCAATTTTCATATAAAATGATTTGAAAATAATTTTAATCAAACATCTTAAACCGAAAAAGTCAATATAAATTAGAACGGAGGGAATAATAAAATTGTTTGAGATAAATTTAATTTTTTTCTTTAATAAACTTGTCAATTTCTTTTAAGATTCCTAAATTCTTTTTTGGATAATGTTATTTTTACCCCAAGAATATGTACCCCATTTTGTACACCGCAGGGATGCACCAATAATTTGTGTTGGTGTAATACTAATTTCTCTTAATGCACCAACACTTTGTGTCAGTGTAATTTTGGTTAACGCACCAATATTTTGTGTCAGTGTGAACCATCAAAATATTGGTACATAACTTTGGTGTACAAATGAGATATAAATTTTGGGTACATGTACCATGCTCCTTTTTTAGTACACGGACGCCACACAAGTCCCCACAGGTAGGGGTGTAAACGGATATTAATCGAATCGGATGTGCCATTACCAAATCCGCATCCGTTTATTTTTAACGGATATCGAATTCGGATACGGATCTTGACGGATACTGAAAATCAAAACCGTATCCGCATCCGTCGGATATCGGATATATCCGTATCCGTTTCCAATTTTTAAAATCAAATTAAAAAATATTTTATTTTTAAATTAGATTAAAGTCAAATTATTATTAAATCAACTATAATTTGTTATGAGATAGTTATTTTCTTTGTTTTCATGATTTCTCATATTCTACGATAACTTCATATGATAAAAAGAAATACACAGCACATATATACACATATTTTTATATGTTCGTATATATTTTTATGTGCACACATTTATTTTGTATTTAAAAATGTCTTATATTTTGAAATATCAATAGAGAAACAAAATATAAACATAAAAATTAGGAAAAACTATATATAACGGATCAGATATTCGGATAAACGGTTATTTAAACGGATGCATATTCGGATCGGATTTTAAACGGATCGAATATACAATTACCAAATCCGTATCCGTTTAGTAATCGAATATCCTTAATCGGATACGGATAATATCCGTTTAAAACGGATGCGGATATTTCCTATTTAAACGGATGCGGATGCGGACGGTAATCGGATTTTCGACTATCCATTTACAGCCCTACCCACAGGCTGAGGGGTCAGAGAGAAACGGACGAGAGCCAAACTCCGCCATAGCCCGACGTCGAACGCCGCCGCCAACACCAAAGGCTGCCGATCCGCCGCGAGGCATTCAAGGTAAATAGCTGTTATTCCGCCTGCTTGCCGCCATTTTATCAAGGTAAAACCTCCATCCCTCCATTTCAGTATTTTTATTCGTTGGATTTGTTTTATCAAGCTAAATACTCTTTATTTCTTTTTTTAGACAATTACGGATTATCAATTATGATTTCGTGATCTGTGGATATGTGAACTTTGAATTTGTGATTAGGTTAATTTTTCACTACGAAGGTGTAATTATTTTTTATTGATTTAATAAGTGAAATGTTAATTGGGTGCAACTTGTTGATTTTTAATAATCTTTATTATTTAAATTTAAATTTCAAGGTATTTCTACATTTTGTTGCTTTAACTTTCTATATCAAACATTTCCCTAACCAAAAACATTTGCTGTTTCTTTATCCGGATAAAAAGGAGAATGCTACATGTACCCCAAAGCATTACTCCGACATTAAATGTAGGTGCATCATGGGAACAATACCAGTTTTGCACCTACATTTATTGTCAGGGTAATGCTTTGGGGTATAAAATGGGGTGCAAATATGGGGTATGTAGCATTTTTTGGATAAAAAACGTAGTGGCTATGGCTCTGTTTGGCATCAAAACTAGATGTTAGCGTTTTGAAGAGGCTATCTGACGGTAGCTTTTAGCGTTAGCGTTTTCAGAATTACTCAACAACATTAAAATTTCATCCAAAATGCTAACGTTAATCGAAAATATTGTTCCCAAACAAGATCTATATGTCCTTATCATTGTTGTCAGTTTTTGTTTAAATTATATAAGTGCTTTGTTGATTTATTGTTCTTCTTTTCACCTAAGCAAGAGTAAATCTACTCTTTTTTATTTTATGACCCTTAATTTTAATAACATTCAACTGTTAGAATTCAATATCCAGTTTACAAATATCATTTCATTGTTTATCTTTACATTTCAAAATACAAGTTTTCTCTCATTAAGATTGTCGTATGTCTTTCGTTTTGAAGAGATCTGTTATAGTGTGATCAGGGGTGGACCCACATAGGATCATACGGGGTCAAGCGACCCCACAGAAATTTTAAATTTTTTTTGTGTGTGTGTGTGTGTGTATATATATATATATAATTTTTTAAATATATACCTAGATTTAGTATATATCCTACGAAACGCCACAAGTATCTACTGCCCAACGTTGAAGGAGTGGATATCTCCGCGTTTTTCATTCTTGAGGGCGGTCTCAGCGGTCCTGTGTTCGAATCCAGCTGAAGGGTGCTTACCATACATGTTAATTTTAAGAAGAATGACATCAAAACGGCGTCTTTTTTTTCTTCCGATTTTTGCTTAAAGCAGTTCGACACCTCTCTGCTATTCTGCACTTCTGCACCAGACGTCCACACCTAATTGCAAAATTCGAATTCGAAACTTGAGACTGACCATCCGCTCGCCGACGGTAGACTCCAAACCTCCGCCGACCGCCGCTTGGAAGTTCGAACCGACGACGGTGACGAGGACCCACCAATTACTCGAACAACCAGGTTTTTTCTCTTAAATCTAATTATCTAAATTAGATATTTCTTTTTTTATTTGTAAATTGTGAAAATTTTAATTAATTTTTATAAATTTGTTATTTTGAATAGAAAAATAGATAATTGAATTCATTTATTTATTTTTTAAGATTTTGATTTGTGAATATGTTAATATAATTAGGTATTTAGGTTATGTACTTATGTTTTAAGTTTATAATATTTTTAATTATTTAAATTTCAATATAGGATGCAAAGGTATGTACTTATGTTTTAAGTTATAGGATGTACTTATGTTTTAAATTTCAATATAGGATGTAATTATTTAAATTTCAATTTAGGTTATGTACTTATGTTTTAAGTTTATAATATTTTTAATGAGATGATATGTGGAACAAAATCAGCAATTAAGTCATGGAGTTTTGTAATAAAAATAATATATTTGTGCCTAACATGAATGCTCGTTATGTGAAGCAAAATAAGTGTGCAGGAAATGCTCCAGTTGTTACAATTTTGCATCATTACAAGTTTGATTGCTTGTTTGAGATAATTGATAGATTTGTCGAGGAGCTTGGGAGCAGGTTTGATGTAGCAAGCACTGAATTGTTAAATTGTGTTGCACGTTATCATTTGTAAGATGTATTTCACATTTGCAATATAGAACTACTTTGAATTAGTATTTTCAATAATATATAAACTTTAATGCTATGTATTGTAAAATACTGTTTATAGATTGTTAGAAGCGTGATTGTTGGATATAAATTTTCTAAATTACGACCCCATGGTATAAATGTTCTGGGTCCGCCCCTGAGTGTGATGGTATGTAAGAAAATATGCCTACAAATTTTTATGTTTTAATACTTTTTAAAAATTTAATTATAGTTATTTTAATAGATAATGACCTCTCAGAAGTTTTGGTCTTCAAAAAATGGATTTTTTCTGTTAGTTTGTTATTTTTCAATAAATTTAGTTTAATGTTTTATTTAAAATGAATTTTAAAGTAAAAAATGAAATCAAAATATTAGGATCAGACCACTGATTCAATGTTGAATAAAATCTGTGATTAACATCTATGAAGCTGCTGTCAAAGATCTTCATATGGACTGAAGACGATCGGGTCGCTGATTCAAACATGAACGTTTAGAATCAATAAATTCTGTTGTCTAAAAGTGTCTCATTCTGATGTTTAACTCATTAAGACGCAAATATGTGATTATATCATACGAATCGAAATCGTTTGTTAAGAAACAATTGCTTGCAAAACCTTGTCAAAATACCATACAAGGAAATTGACGTTATCCTTAGTATGCAT